TAGCACCGACTTCATCCATGCCGTGGTGGAGATCAAGCGCACCTGCCCAGGCGTCTCCTTCTCTGGAGGCTTGAGCAACCCGTCTTTCTCCTTCCGCGGCCTGAACTCGCTGCGGGATGCCATGCACAGCGTGTGCCTCTACCACGCAGTGCCCAAGAGTCTGAACATGTCCATCGTGAACCCAGGAGGCCGGGTGAGTGAAGCTGCCGCACGGAGCTTCTTGGACCGTCTCACCGTGTGGAGAGGCCTTCCCCGCTACACGGACATCGACGAGAACACACGCAAGCTAGCGGAAGAGGCGCGCGGCTCCTTGTCTGGGCTTCAACCCGGCTGATCTAATCTCAGCTGGCTCGATCATTCCTGCCTGATTTTGAATTGCAGGTGATTCTGAACCAGTCTGCAGATGGAAAGCATGCAGGAAGCCTAAAGACCCGCCTTGCTGTAGCGCGAGAGGTCCGTCCTGTCTTGTGCAGAGGTCGGGCGCTTCCTGGAGTACGCCGAGGCCGCCTCCCTGCTGTGAGTCTCAAGGGCGTAGTACATCGTAGCAGCGCGGCCAAGAGGCAGTCCGCAAGCCTGCCCCGGCTGCCCCGGCTGCGGGTGCTGCTGCGGGTGGCGCTCCCGCCAAGGCGCAGTTCGCAAGTTTCAAGTCGGCTCGCAGTCGCCGACATCATCTGCCCGAGACCGGATGCCTGGCGAAGCGGCACATTCACAGAGCGTTTGCACTACGGCGGTGGCCTCGGCCAAGACGCCATGTCGCCGTGTGCATGCCCCTTCGCCCGTGGCCTGCAGAAACTGACATGCTGTGGTACGGGCCAACAAGGCTGATCAACGGTATCGACAAGTTCATTGAGGAGATGCCGAGGAGGTCCGCTCTTCAAGCTTTGCCGGCTTGAGTCCGACACATTGCCGGCTGCCACTGTGCCGGAATTGCGAGAGGCCCGGGCAGAATTGCAAGTCCCGCTGCGTGTTATCGAGGGGCCGTTGATGGAAGGCTCTCGTGCAGCAGAGATCCGCAGAGCGGGGGAGCTCAACCAGGGAGTAGAATTTGGTAAGGCATGGCATCATCGGCGACCTTGTCGGATCCGGAAAGATGTTCTTGCCACAGGCCTGTGGCTTTTGCTTCAAAGTTGCCTTTGCCAAGCACTCTCCGCCTTGCAGGTCATCAAGAGTGCACGAGTCATGAAGAAGGCCAAATGGCCAGAAATCGAGTCTGCAGTGCATCCTCGTCTTCCCCTTCGGCTGGCAGATGAGGCTATAGAATGCTGACAGGCCGTGGCGCGCCTGACCCCCTTCATGGAAGAGGAAAGGCGTGCAGCCGTTCTCGCCTGAGATGGGCTTGAGACAGGGAGCCGGTGCAAAGGGTTCCCGTTTCCAGAGGCCCTCGCTGCCGGCGAGGACCCTGATCAGCCCAGGTACAATGGCGTTGTGCTGATGGCCAGCCCTGTCTTTTCATCTTCCTGTTCGACATTGCGCCCTAGGTGGGTCGGCTTGATCATTCTGAAAGCCTTTTTGCACTTGACGTTGACACTCTCTTTCTGAGATTGACTTTCAGCCATCATGCTTCGTGATGAGTTGTGTGACATGTTGCAAAACTCACAGAAGCAACTCAAACAGGGGAACCACGAGGCAGGAGGAAAAGTGCGAAGGCCATCATGCATTTTAATGCTGAGCCGCCACAAAGAGGCAGATGATATATTTTAGGTGTGTTGCGGTATTTTGTCTGTCTTTTGGCTTGCGGGCTTCTTGGCTTCTGGGATTAAGCGCTTCAAGGCATTTCAGCTTGCTCGCTTCTCTGCGTCTTGACTTCTGGACTTTCTGGCTTTTTGGCTTCCGGAGGTCGCGGCTTCCAGGCTTTTCAGCTTGCTCGCTTCTGGCTTTCTGGCTTCTCCTGCTTGTTGGCTTCTCCCCCACCGCCGCCTTGGTTAAGCCATCCACGCTTGCGCTGAAGAAGTCATGTCAGCACCATGGGGCTGCAACCCCTCAACTCCCCGCTGTTGTAAGGCGATCCATGCTATCAAGAAAAAACAAGCATCATGTCATCACATTGTTTGTAGTACGGGTTGCGCGGCTCATAATTTTTTTCGCAAATGGGGGTAAACAAAAATTATCATAACCATGTTTGCAGTGGGAGAAGGCTGTCCGGATCATGTTGGTCGCAAATAAGGGTGTGCCCCCCCCCCCACAACCCACCGTTTTTTTTTGAGGCCATCCATGCTTATAGTAAGAACATAGGTCACCACCATGCGGATCATTTTGTTTGCAAAAGGGGTGAGGGGGCTGTCCCCCCCGTTCATTTAAAGCCATCCATGCTAACATCCATGCTCATGGTAAAAGACCGTGTCATCACCATGGTTGCAGTAGGTAGGGGAAGGCTGTGCGGGTCATTTTGTTTGCAAAGGGGGTCGCCAACTTGCCGTGGACTGACGCCGAAAACAGACTCGAGCAAGACGAGCCCAGGTCCACAGTTCGTTGCCGGAGACCTCATAGACGATGTATTCCCAGTCGCCGACGGCAGCTGGGAATGTAAGATCAGCAGTAGCCCCCACTTTGCTTTGGAGCTTGACTGACCGATCCTTTGTGACCCGAAAGCCTCAACCCAACGCCTTCGTGGGTACCGAGATTGACGGTGCAGAGTTTGCTCCCTACGACCTCCTTATGCACCTCGGCTTTGCCTGCTTGCATCTACTTCCGATTGTTCGTGGCGAATTTCCACAGATGCTCTGCAAGCCCGCTGCCGAACTCTGTGGCCCAAGGCCGAACCTGTTGCCGTTCCTCAGCGCGGCTTGGCTGCGAAGTCCCAGAGTAGGAGGGCTGCTCGGAAGTCGGTATGTCGTGACCAAGCAGAACAGAAACTGGAATTCGCGCATGGGTCAGGACTATGCCGCATGACTTTAGGAATCTGGTGACACAGGAAGTTGCATCGTCTGTGATCGAGTGACTGTCAGTCTTGAGCTGAGGCTATGTGCCTGAGTGGATGAGCAGAGCGCTCCGGCCAATGTGGCGCACTGCAGGTGCCACTGTTACTCGCACCGCATGCGATTTGCTACAGAGCTTGCCCAGGCAGACATGCCAATCCGCCCATGTGACTGCGCTGGAACTGCGCAGCGACTTGCACGCATCATCATGCATCTACGCATCTGCACCCGCAGTGCACGCATGATCACGCATGCTTAGACGTGGGGACTGGCGGCCTAGGTCAGGTGAAGCGCGCCGAACTCCACCGATCTCCTTGGAGGAGCTGCCCCGAAGCCTCCTCCTCAACTCGTAGATGCGAGGGAGCCTCTACATCATCTGTACACTTCGTGCAGCGGGCTTGAGGAGTCGTGCCAGGGTTGCCGCTCCGTGCCCGGGCTGCCTTTGCTGCCTCATCTTAAGAGCTGACACTCCGTCGTAAATCTCGCGCTTTTGACTCCTGTGAGCTCTTCTTTGAGCTCTGCTGAGGCTCCGGGCTACTTATGGGATTGTGCTCCTCAGCTGCATGGGACGGCCATTGCAGCTTTTAGCAAGGGAGCTCGCCCGTTCTTGCTCGAGGCACAGGCACACGAGGCAGCAGGGCACAAGCCTCAACAGATGCTGTCCTGCGTTGCACAAAAAACACCACGAGCATCAGGCGTGACTGCTGCAAGCTGCAAGGTTTTTGCAGCACTTCTTGGACTCGACTTGCTTGTCGGACTGCAGGATGCGAGATAAGAGAGCCTGCAACAGAGACGAAGAGTCGAAGGTCCGCGTCGCGAGAGGACAACCTTGACTGACTACCTGGCAGCGAATCCCGGCTTGGATGAACACATCCGCGTGCGTGTGCCTTCCTCGTGACTGCTTGTAGTGCCCTGAAGTGCTCTGCACCGCGTCCTTCCAAAAGGGATCGTACGAGAATCGTCGTGATCGCTTTCAACTGGGCAGCCGTGGGCTTGCTCTCAGCACCCACCAAAATCCAACTTCAGTGCTGACGAGCTGTTTCCACCCCTGGCACAAAGCCATGCATGGACTCCTTCCGGCGCCGGGCTGCGGCGCCTGAAATCCGGATCTAAGGCAACCCGGAAGGAAAAGAGCTGTCCTTCTGTGTTCGGAGATTCCGCAGTTGCACGCACTGCAAAGTGTCCGTGTTTCCTGTGCCAAGAGGTCATTGTATTCTTGGCTCCACGAAGACTCAGCGTAGAGGCACAGCATCAAGGCCCATGCAACAACAACCGAGCTCTACAGAAACAGACCTTGCCAGAAAGCCATGGCATACCAAGGAATGAAAACATGCAGAATCAGCTACCTCTTCAATTTGACAGCACTTCATTTTGCCTCCAAAGTGTGCATGTCTACAAGAGCGCATATCCACATTCTGCATTGGGCGAGCCGAGCAACAGGGGTGCCAAGCTTGAAAAGGCCTGCTGGCCTCGTGCTCCTGCTGGTGGATGCACGCACAGTGAGCATATCTTTCCCTGAACAAAGCCAACGCAGTCCCAGAAAGTTCCGAAGCTTCGACTTTCAGAGGACTTGGCCGGAACGGCAATGTGTCTTGGAAGAGGCCAGGTCCTTTGCTACTTGCCTTCGCCGGTGCCACGGTTGCAAGCCAGGCTCAAAGCTCGAACTTGTTGAGCAAGCTGCAGCAACTTGCCGTAAATGTCCAGTC